GCTAGTAGAAGAAACGCAACGATGAAGCAACAACACATGATTTAAAGCACCGCGGAGAAAACTCGTTTCAGCGCAGCAAAACGAACGCAAATGTCCTCGATGCGGCAAGCGACGCGCCGAACGCATGCACTCTGCACTGGCACGGCAACGGCGGCTATTCGAGCAGTGCATTCAGCCGAGTAGTACAGAGTGGAAGGCCGATCGATGAGTGACCAGGGAGTGACCACAGCATCGCACGGAACTCCCTCCCTCCCTCCCTCCCGCACACATTTACAGCATCACATTACGAAATTCTTTTGAGCTCCTTGTAACGCCCCTTTTGCAAGTTTGGCCGCGGAATTTTGACGCGCACTGAGCGATCCTTATAAGCTTATAAATAAATGGCCAACGTACCGACTGCCGGTGTGAAGATGCGTTTTTTGCATAGTTCTCGCATTGGTTTTTCCGGCAAATGCTTCTAGCTAAAACAGCTGAGACTGGCCGCCAGAACTGTCAGGAAACATCTCTTTAAAATTTCAGCTTTCCAGCTTTCCTGGTTTCCGAGTTAGTAACTTACTCACAAAAAACTTTTACGGGCTCGTACAAAGGAACAACGTATACCCGGGGGCTAGGTTTGAACTCATTAGGACCTAAGTGGACGGAGAACATCCCCTTAAAATTTCAGTCCTCTAGCTTCTCAAGTTCCCGAATTAGCAATTTACCCAGAAAAAATTTGGGGGCCCGTACGTGGGTATCACGCACACCCGAAGGCTGCGTTTGAACTCATTAATACCCAATTGGATGGGGAACAATCCCTTAAAGTTCCAGTCTTCTAGTTTTTCTGATTCCCGACTTAGCGACATACCTGCAAAAAACTTTCACGGGCCCGTACTCGGGTACCACGTGAGTACGACCGCCCATTTTGAGGATGGGGGCTCGTACATGCATGTAGATTAAGCTCCCAAAGTTTCAGCCCTGTAGCTTTTGTAGGTCTCGAGATGAAAAAGCGTGACAGACGTACACACAGACAACCTCTCGTCAATATGCGTTTTCTGCATTGCATAGGATGCAAAAAATGCATAATAAGCAGACCGGAAAGCATAGCCATCCGCCAGATTTATCCGTGCTGGGCTCTAATTGCCCGGTTGTCAGTTGTTTGGGAGGTCTCTTCTCCTCTCATGAGCGACACTGATAACGAAAATAATAAATAATGATAATAGTAATAAAAGTAATAACAATACAAAGGACAATTACAATTATCACTGCATTTGTAATGCTAAAAATGCTTAGGGTTCCGCATGTGTCTAGGAATGGAGCTGGGTAAAGATCAGCGCAGGCGCCGGGAGGACGGTGGCCACACCCCGTCATAACTCAGATCGTCAGAAGTCGAAAAAATTGCATTCCAAACATTGATAAAAGAGATAAGAGCAACAATAAATTTTTTGATGTAAT